CCCAAGGACCGAGCCCTGTGGGACCCCACTTCCCACGTCCATCCAGGTCGAGAAGGACCCATCCACTACCACCCTCTGGGTGCGACTCTCTAACCAGTTGGCGACCCATTGGACTGTATGGGTGTCTACGCCACAGTCCCCCAGCTTCCTAATGAGAATGGGGTGAGAGACAGTATCAAAAGCCTTCCTGAAGTCTAGGAAAACTATATCCACTATATCCAATTTAATCACATCCAGACTCCTTGTCCAAATAGAGGGAGAATACTCACTATTTAGCATGGCCCAATCTATCTGCGACCATCTGTATGAGTGTCAGCTTTAAGGCACACATGTCTCAATCCTGCCTGCCTTCTCCCCCTCCTCCCTTGTGCAGTCATGAGCTTTGAATACCTAAAATGGTCATTGCCATGCAACGTTGGCTGCTATCAGCCATTAGCAGCCTCTGCTAATTTTCCATCACCTTGTCCCTAATCCCTCCCCACTGTGGATCACATCAGTGTCATCTGTTCATATGACTCCCATCCTCCCTGCTGAAGGGCATGATCAAGGGCCCCCACTACACTAACCATTCTCTGGTGCCACACAGGACGCAGAAGGCATGAGAAAGCTCAGAGGGGCTCATGTTTTCTATGCAGAATAGCTCTGGCAGCAGCATGTCTTACTGGTCAGCATGTAAAGAGGAGAACTTAGAGAGTGATGGAAGCTGTGAGAAGAAAAGGCAGGGGAAGTGACTAGTACCAACATGGGCAGTGGATCCAGGATTGTGGCAAGAGAAATGTGGCTCTGAGCATGGCTCCAGAGCTTGGAGTAAGTGCTGCCACTGTTTACTCTCCCTTTCTCCCCTGGTGCACTGAATTCAGCAGTAGGGTGCAACTGGCACCGCACCCCCTTGGATCTGCCTCTGGGCACAAATAGCTATGAAGGCAACATTTGGATGAGACCAGATGAAAAGGGTAGAAATGTCCTAGTGTGGCTTTTGATGGGCTTTGCTGGTAGAGGGATGAGGACCTCATCCAGATCAGAGGGGAGCCACAAGAAGGCTGGAGGAAGGGAGGTAGAGGCAGCTAGGACACACAGCAGGGCGCTTTCCCATGAGCCAGAGTACTGCTCATAATGCATCCCACAAACTGGACTCTGATTATCTGACCCCAGGTGAAGACAGTTGTCACAGCAACTTGAGCAAATGGTCAAAATATCATCATGTGGACTCTGCTGGGCTTGCGGGCTGGGTTATGTCAAGATAAGTGCTTGGGCCCCCAGCTCCCAGTCACTAGGGCTGTGCAAGGCTTCAGACAGAGCTCTGGACACTTCAGGGTCCGAAGCAGCACGTCTGGGTCAAAGCGCCGCCTTGTTTGGCTTCCCAAAGTGCTTCGGAGCCGCCTCAGAGATCTGGCCGTAGGGTATAATGGGGAAACAATAAAATATCTATAACTTTGTTGTTTTTTGTCTGATTTGGATGAAATTTTCCAGGATGGTAGATTCTGCAGGTAGTATGAAGCCTGCCAAGTTTCAAGAAGTTTGGTGCAGGGGTTTGCGGGGAACAGGACCCCAAATTGTTGAAAGCAAAACTCCTGTCACGTCTGTGTGTTACACCACAGGGGGGTGAAAACTGCAGGGCTGGTAGCTCTTGCTGAGGCCACAAAGCCTGCCAAGTTTCAAGAAGGTCAGTGCAGGGGTTTGGGGAGAACTGTCCCTCAAGCTGCTGACAGACAAAACTTGGCAGGCTGAGTGGCAGCCTGCAACCTTCCTAAATCTCCTAGCTCATGTCAAGCTTGCAGGTAGAGATTTGGTATGCTCTCAGATGCTCTGGATTATTGCAGAAGCAGGAGGCCTTGTGGATCACTGTCTGAGAGGCATCTTGGAGCTCGGGGGGCAGAGAGATGTGCTGCTAGGGTCAAGGTGTGCCTCCAGCCCCATGTGAAGTGGGCTGCAGAGGGGTTCATGTGATCTTATCAGACTGGGTCTGTTAGGGCAGAAGGGAAAATTGAAAGAAATACAGGTTGATGGAGCTTTGCAGAGCCTGAGACAAGGAGCCAGTGTGGGGATTCACTTGGTCTGATTATGAATTCTTGGGTGCTCACAGTTCCTCCAGTGCCAGTATTACAGCTCAGGCCTCCTGCATGTGGAAATTGTGGCTGCCTTGAATGGCTGTGTTAAGGAAGCTCTTATCTGGATGCCTGTTCAGGATCAGCCATACTTTTGTTGCCACTGCTGTGAAGTGTGGAGGAAAGATGCCTATAGGCATCTGAGTGTCTTTGGTCTAACCTGCTGGGCACTCTGTCTTTGTCTGTAGGGCAAGAAGGGGAAGTGCAAGGCTGCATCCCTACAGCTGATGAAGCAGTGACATTAGGCAGCCATACAGGCTCCCCAGAGACTCCTCTGAGGCAGCACCCTCCACAAAATGTAGAGCCATGGGATATGCAAAGTTCCTGCATAGTTCTCACTTCACCCAGACACTTTCCTTTTCTAGACATGGATTTCAATGGAAAACGCTTCGTTCTTTTAATCAATGTTAGGAGAGACCAGAACTGTGTTAGTAAATTCCTGGCATTTCACAAAGACTTGGGCTTCAGTTTGACTCTGCCTCATTTGAGCCCTTTAGTACTTGCAAGATCCAAGCTCTAAGACTGCTGCTGTGAAAGATTCAACTGAATCTCTGTGTTCAGCTTAAATACATGCATCTGTTTTATAGTCGGTGGCAAGCTGCCAGCTAGTCCTGGATACTCGAAGAATTCTCTCTAGGAAGCCAGTAGTCTGATTAGTATTTTTCCATAGGATAGGGGATAGACTTGCAAATAATAGGAGTAGGGATGCTGTGGGGGAAAGAGAAAAGAAACCTTCCTGTTTCTTTAAATGTTGTGTATAGAACATAACATAAGACCCTAAGAGCTGCACACTGGGTCAGACCGCAGCCTCATCTAGCCCAGCAGTCCATGTCTTACAGTGGTGCAGAGTGGGTGCTAATGGGGAGAGTACATATGGGCTTATCCAGACTGATAAGCCCTACATAAATATAAGCCCCTACCCTTCTTCCTTTACAGCTTCCAACATTCAGAGCCTAGGAAGTCCTAATTCAGCGCTTGCACCCATAACCATCATTTTTAATACCCACTGATACATCTAACCTGCTTGAATTTATCCAGTCTTCTTTTGAACCTGATTATATTGCCAGCCTCTACAGCAGCTTGTGGAAATGAGTTCCACAAGTTAATTACACACTACATGGAAAAGCTTCCTTTTGTTTGTATGAAACCTGTTTCCTAATAATTTCCTTCTGTATCCCCTAGTTCTAGTATTGTGAGAGATTGTACATAGTTATTCCTATTTATTTTTTCCACCCTATTCAGTATTTTATAGAGCCTTATTGTAACCCCCCTCAGCCATTTTTTTTCTCTAAGCTGAAAAGTCCCAATCTATTTAGTTTCTTCTCAGATGGAAACCTCTTCATGCCCCAGATTACCTTTTCTGCCCTTTCACTGTCCCTTTTCTAGTTTTACTGTATTCTCTTTCAGGTTGGGGAGACCAAAACTGCATGCAGTATTCAAGGTGTGGGTGTACCATGGATTTATACAGTGGCAAAATAGCATTTCCTGATTTCTTTTCATCCCTTTCTTCCTAATTCCTAGCATCCTTTATGCCTCAGTGGATGCTTGTCAACAGCTACAGAAAGGACTCTTTTCCAAAGAATTTCATTGGCATATGTGTGAGCATGTACAGGTGGGCACAGTTGTGCGTTCAGACAGTGCCTTGAGGCAGACAGATGAGACTCATCATGTTGTGTTTGGTCCTCAGGTGCAGAGAGGAAGATGCGGCCATTTATCAGGCCTCAGCTAGAAATAACAAAGGCATCGTGTCCTGTTCTGGTGTCCTGGAAGTGGGAACCATGACAGAGTTTAAAATCCATCAGAAGTGGTTTGCTAAGCTCAAGAGAAAAGCAGAAGCAAAACTGCGTGAGATTGAGCAAGGGAAAAAACGAGGGAAAGAGAATATGGAAGTGGAGAGGTTAAGTAGAGTCAGCCCAGAAAGATTCCCCCGAAAGCGGCGGCTGACAGGGGATATGAACCCCAGGTCAGGTGCCTCGCTCTGGGAGAAGGACGACATGGCAAAGGTGCATGTTGTGAATCCTAAATCAAGATTACATGAAGAAGCTACTGAGTTGAAGGAACCACCTCTAAATGCAGTGGCTGGGTTTTCAAACAACCTGATCACAAAGCCTCTGAAAGCAGAGGTGACCACCAATGGGGACTCCTCTCTGGAAAGTGCAGAAGAGAATGGGAATGGCTTTCTCACATACATCTATGAAACGGTGGAGGAAATGACTGCCAAGCCCATCGCTAAAGAGTCCTCTGCAAAAAAGAAAAAGAAAGACAATGAGCCTCCCAATCTGCTGCCATCTAAACAGGAAGCTTCAAGGCGAGAAGAGGGTGTGAGAGGCAAGGGAAAACCCTCCCAGAACCCAAGATTTGCCCCGTTCACCACCTCGCCCAGGAGACCTCAGGCAGTCACAGCAAGTGATCTCAGGGTTGAAGATGTGCCAAAAGCCAAGGAACCAGGGAAGCCTGTGAGCCAGGAGGCCAAACCTGGCAAGCATCAGCCTTGCCCCCCACCTCCCCAGGGTGACGTATATTTTTCTTTGAAAGAGATGTTTCTTGAGAGCAGAGTGAAACCCATAATGGAAGAGAGGGAGCCAGGAGCCCCAGAAGTTGAGAATGAGGCTGATCTGCAGCCTCCAGCCATGGACATTGACAGTCAAAGGAAGACTTCATCATCTGCAACCAAGGAGTTACTGGCAAGGCCTGTGCCAGCTAAGGAGCAAAACAGCCAACCTGCAGAGCAGAAACCAGAGGGGAAGGAAGCCATGGATACAGAGGTAGCTACAATGCATAGTAAACCATCCAGGTATCCCACTGGGCAAATATCTGAGCCCCCTAGCTGGACCATGGAGCCAGCTGGTGAAAACATCCGAGCGACAGACCCCCTGGACTCTGTTCAACCTTCCACAGAGCAGCCCCTACAGCCAGTTACCCTATCTGTGAATCGGATGGCTCCAGGTCTAGATTTGCCCCTGTGTGGCCAGGAGACCAGGGGTAGCTTGCATCAGATCTCCTTGGAGGAACAGCTGGTCCCTGGAGTGCCTGCTGAGGTACTGTAAGGTCTATTTTTTTTTGTGGTAGTCTGACCTCATGCAAAATGTTTCCAAATCAGACAAGCAGCAAGCACTGAAGGCCTGAGCACCTATTTATAGCTGGGAATGAGTGTTGTATGCATATGACAAGCAAGGAGGATGATGCCATCTGTTTAGTTTAGCGATGAGCCCAAGCCCCTAGGTGGTCTATTTAATAAGCCTTTATGTAAATGAAAAGTGGACCTGGCAGGTACACTGCGTGAACTTCATTAGACATCACTGGGAATTTTGTTTACAGTGAAACATGTATACAGTAGACTGGGTTGGTTTTTGGCTCCGTCCACCCTGCTGGAACAGGGTGGACACAGAAATCTTCCTGCTGGCTGCTGGGTCAGAGCAACTGCATCTGCTCCTGACTGTCACCATTTCCCTTCAGCCTGTGTCTATTTTTGTCATTTTATCTGGAGCGTTTTCCATGAAGTGTAGTGTTAGGCCAGAGGTTGCATGTTTGCCTGTTCACTCAAGTTCTGGCCTGGGGTCTTCTAAGACAGATTTCAGGGTCCTGGTAGGATTGAGACATCTGAATTACAGGACTGACATTCAGGGATTTCTTTTTTTCAGTGAAAAAGTAGGTCTGTAGAGAAATAAAGTTGAGGCTCCAGGGCAAAGAGAGTAGCCAGGTGCCTCTGTGCATGTGAGCTCAGTCTCCTGTTCCAGAAAATTAGGAAAAAAAACCTAACCTGGGGTTCCAGCTTCTTCACTGGACAGTGTTGCAAGGGGCTGGTTCTGCCAAGTGATACATAATCTTTGTGTGATGCTGTTACTACCTCAGCAAAGATGAGCACCCAAGCCCTGAGACTACCCTTGCACAAACCCCATTAAGTTCCCAGTGTGGCACAGCCCTGACTCTAGTCACATGCTTGGCAGGAAATGTAGCACCTCTACACATGCAAGAGGTTGGTGTTGGAGCTGTCAGGTGTTCCCATGGAACAGGTGCAGGCATTTCCTGAGCCTGGCATCTGCTTTCCTCTTCTAGGCTTCAGTACAGACATGCAGCCATAGCTAGGGCCAGGACACAGGCTGGAAAGTGCCTGTGTCATGCTAAGGAGTCAGTCAAATTATTTGGACAAAACCTGCACAAAGAACTGGGCACCTGGTTCCTTGACTCATCAGCACAGCACAGCACAGCACTCAGGGTCCCTTCTGTAGTGTGACAGTTCAGCCTCACCTAATGACCATAACATCTACCTTATCATCGAACAACTGCACAAACCCTTGCTGTGCCACAGAAACCCACAACAATACTCTTGAGCATCTCCAGCTCCTTCTCCATGCTCCTTGCTCCCAGATAGGTAGAGTTCAGTGGTTTCCAGCCTCCACTCTTGTGCTGTCATCTGTAAGAATTTCCCTATATCTTGTTCATGGAGTTCATTGAGTCCTGCACTCAGAGAAGCCCTGTCAGGTGGCACCCCCCACCACTGCCTTTATAGTGCTTCCATTTAAGTTTAATGAGAAGCGTGCATATGGATCTGCAAGCAGTATTGAGTTGATGGTGGTGATTGGTCCAAAGAACCTGGGAACGACTGAGGTCAATGTTTCCTTGGTTCCAATTCTGGCTTCATCACAAAGTCTGAGGGATGCCCTCAAGCGGGATTTAGCTTTTGTGAGAGGTGTTTGTAGAAATTCCCTGCAGTAGCCAAGACATAATCCTTTCTGATCCTAGAGTAGGAGGAAAAGTTGGCCTTGATCTAACTAATTCTTCACTCTGCCAATAGTTTCCCTGTTATATAAATCACCATTCTTGACATAACATTTCTTCTCTTCCAGTCTCCTAGAGAATTGCCCCTTCTGTAGTGCTGTAGGGCTAACAGCCTCTGGCTCAAGAGGGTTTTTTGCATCAGGTTTTATTGTTAGCACCTCCACTGAGGAGATTCTAACCAGCTTTCAAGCTGGTTCTGCTGATCCTGCTTTCAAAGCAGAGGAAACCGTGACATTGGGTCACTCATTTCAGCCACCCAGCCTGCACTCTACCTTTGGTTGCCTATGTACCTCTAGCACTGAGTCCTGCTGTTCACCAGACAGGAGGTGACTGGGGACAGGGTGCAAAGTCAAAGGGTTAATCACACTTTTTCCATCCCTCATTCTCTCCTGTACAAGAAGCTGAGCTCTTCCAAAGTTCCCTGCCATGTGCTATGGCCTTTCTTGCTGCCTGCTCCCTGCCCTCCCTATTTATTCAGTAATACTCCTGTGCCAGCTTCAGAGAACGCAATATTGGGAGGGCCTGTCCTTTACCATTCACCTCTTACAAATGGGTCAGGCTGTCCATTGTGATCCAAGGGAAACATTAACATATATTCCAGGGCTAATGAAGATGAACTAGCTACACTGACTACCCATTTAATGGTGTGAATCAGACTTCTAGTGTGCAGCTGTTTTGCACAAAGATACACAGGGACCAGGTGCTGCAGAGAAAGGTAAGGGCCTCTGCCAATCTAAGCATCTTGTGCCACTCCCATTGGGGCAGAGTTAAGGTGATGTAGAAAGTATGATCTTCACCCTGCTGTCCTGGTTCTGTAATGCTGGTGTTTTGTTTTGTGATATTTGGTACACACTTTTGTAACATTTGGTAGATGGGGGACCCCAGCCCAGCCTGTTCTGGTTTTCTAGCATCTGAACTTAACCTCTTACATACTGGAAAAGGAGGAAACACAGAGCAAGCTGTGGGCCGTGTTGTTTTCTCCACATTGACACAGTGTGTAGGTGTTAACATTAAGACTGGAGTGGAACATTAGTCCCAGCTTCTTGAGGAGTCTCTGCTTCCAGTGGTTGCTATCTTGAAGGAAGCTCAAGGGTATGCATGTCGCATGTTCCTGGGTGCTGCATGGCAAAGACGTGCTGCCAGCAAACCTCTCTTCCCTTTGCTTTTCAGCCACTCAGCAGTGTTGGTCCCCCTTCACTTCCTGCAATCGGAGGTCACATAAGCAGCTTATCAGGCTCTTTTAAGAGGTTTTCACCACTCCTGGGTGCATGGTACCAACCCTACAATGCCTTGAATGGAGTGTGCCTGTAACTTGCCTATATAAGGAGATGTGGAGCTGTGAGCAGGCTTAGCCCAGAGAGAGGAGGGTCTCTGTGCCCAGGTCAGAGGGAGCTGGAGTCCCAACCAGCAGCCTGTCTTCAGTCAAGACCAATGGCTGCTGACTCCATGCAGACCTCACTGCAGAAGGAAGGCAATAGCTAATGGTCACATGGTCAGGTGGCATATCAGCATCAGGACAGCTGCAACCCAGACCTTGTTCCCATATCATTGGAAGGGCTGAGGAGGGCAATGGCCCTGTAGGGAGGAGGGGAACATGCCAGGGTGTGTAGGGACAGAGTAATCAGGAGGGCTTATATACCTTCCAGGGCTCTGAGCCAAGTGACTCAACTCAGGAGAGGGATGGGGGCATCCCTGTAGACAGCTGCAACAATGCTACTCAGTGTGCAGTCACCACCCAGGGAACAGCCAAAGTGTCAAGCTGCATAATAAATGAGGTGGTGGATAACCCAGAGCACAGTGCAGTGCCCATACATGAATCGGTGGGCATGTCAGTGTGGCTCCTGCATGTAGTTCTGTGCTACCCATCTCCCGTGGGAGATTGCGGAGGTGGAGGGAGTTAGAGACGAGACAGAAATGGTTAGGGGCCTGGAAAATGCTTCAGAAGACAGGGAAGAGATTCAGTGGTCATCAGGGAAATGAGATGAAAAGAGCGGGGCATGATAAAGATATAATTCAGATGATGCAGGCACTAAGGCACGTGGTTGACAGCTCAGAGGTCGTAAATCTGATGCTATAGCAGAAGCACTCATGGTGCAACCCTGTCAGATTTAAATGAATCTGCAAAATTCTGCTAAGTAGTAAATACCGTGTCACAAGGACACAGAAAAGGAAAGTAATTCTAAACTAGGGTGGTATGAGATCCTTTTAAAGGTGCTCCAGGGTGCCATTCAGTATTAGCATTGTTATACGTACAAACACCTGCACGGTTCACAAGATAAACCCAGAGATTTTCAATAGGAATCCATAGTGTCAAAAGCATCCTGACCCATGGCAGGTGTTTCTGAGTTCTTTGCAATCAAAGAATTGCTCCTAGTATTTCTCCATTCAAAAATGAGTGAAAGCAAAGAACTGGCATTTTCCAAGGGGTGCCCCACATCTATAACAGCTGAGAATCACTGGTCTAATAGAACAAAGAGTGGTCTAGAGAAGGGACATGGGGAGAATCACTTCCCCCTGACTCCCAAACCAAGCACAGGTCCTTGTAGAGTGTTCAGTTTGCAACTGATAAAATAAACTCCTTTTCCCTACACCATAATTTTGGACTGTGGAATCCACTGCCAGCCAGGCCAAGAGCTCCGCGAGGTTTTCAGAAGCACCAGATGTTTGTAGCAGTATCTGGAATATCTCACTAGAATAGCTAATGTTTAAAAACATTTTAGAAGTGGGGATAAACCTCCTGGCTGAAAGAGTTTAAGTCAGTCCCCTCCGACCAGGGGCTAGAAGGAGACCCTCGCTAGGGCAGCAGAGAGCCCCACGGCCGAGACATTCTGCGGAGCCATCTGGTGTTGGCTGCTATGGAAGCAGGGCCTTGGGTTGGATCCATACCGGCCGTCCCAGGTCTTTTCTCACTTGAACTGTTACTCAGTGTTCGAAGGGAGGTCAGAGCGGGCACTTCTTTTATCATGGTCTCTATATTGACAGTCAACAGTGAAATATCATTCTGCCTTGGCAATAGACTTCCTCAGCCATCTGGGCTCAGTGTGTGTTTTTTCTGGACAAGTTACATGCATGTTATGGAGTGGTGTTGTAGACTTCACATGGCAGGAGCACGGCCATAGAGGAGGAGCCTGATTTTGACAGGTGCCAAGCCTTCACAAATCTAGTGGCAGCCAAAGCAAGTCCACGGAGCTCAACACTGATCAAAATTAGTCCTTGATAGTTAGGTTTTGTCCACAGAGGCAGGATCAGACTATGATTCAGTCTGATTCCCCAGACATTTCAGGGTAAATGAAGGGCAGATGGGCCCTAAGTGTTAACTTGAAATACCAGGGGGATGCAGGTAGTAAAATAATTCTCATTTCCTTTTTGCTCCTTAGGCCCCAGAGATGGCAGAGCCAGTGTTATCACCTGCCAGCAACTACCTGAAGCATCCATCATCAGAACCAGCAGAAGATACTAATCAGCAAGAGAGCTGCTTAAAAGAGGTCACTGGCATGGACACAGAGCAACCTGAAGAGCAGGAAGGCCCCAGGCCAGACCTGCAAGAACCAGGGATGCTGACACTGAGCCAGGAAGGCATTCAGCAAGCACCTGAGGATTCCCAGAAGGCTCCAGCTGGCTCTCCAGGCCTCCCACAGCCTGTCTGGGAAGAACATCTACCTTGGAAAGAGGAGGAGACAGGACCTCCCCTGACTTTCACAGGCCAAGAGACCCAACAGAGACCTTTTCCAAATTGTGAGACTAAGGACATGGGTTCAGTCGAGCCACTGTTAAAGGAAGCAAGGCCTCCTGAAGACAAAATCATCCTTGAGCAAGATGTCCATGAAACTGAAGTAGAAGGTGGGAGGATAGATCAGCCATTACCTGCAGAAGCAGAGACACCTGGAGAATGGTTAGGGGACAGCATTCTCCATGCAGAGACTGAGGGCAGACAGGAGGAGCCCAGCTCCCATGAGACTGACCAGAAAGTACCGACAGTGGCAGAAGAGACATCCTTGGAGACTGAAGTGGCAGCTCCTGTTTCCCCCCAGGTCTGTGAGGAAGAGCAGCTGCCTGCGTCCCCAGCAGAGATATCTGTGCCTGAGGAAGCACCTGGCTTAGCTTTCCCTTCTCCAGTCAAAGAGCCCCCAAGCAATGGGACCCCGTGTGTGGTCCACCTGCTGCGGGATATGAAGAAAGAGATGGAGAATAAGACAACAGATGAATCTGCACTGCACTTGGCAGCCATTCCTCAGCAAGGTAACTTTCCCATCAGTGCTGCTGAGGAGGGCAAAGACAAACCAGTGTCTGTATTAGTAGCACCCCAACAACACGAGGCAGGCGAGCAGAGAGCTGTGACTCCAAGAAAGAAGCAGGCTGTTGTAGCTGTGAGAGGTGAGATGTCCTCTTCAGATGTAGGAGTTGAGGTCCATCCAGTATTAAGAAAGCCACTGGCTCCTCAGGCTGTACCTGGCTTCGAGGGGCACCAGGAGGAAATATCTATGGAGCAGAAAGTACAGCACAAGAATCTGGTGTCCTCCTTAAAGAACTATCTCCTTCTGCTTTTGAAGATGTCAGATAAAGGCAAGGACAGTGCAAAGGCCGGAGCTGAGCCAGAGGAGAGTGAGGCAGGGGAGGTCCCGCCTGCCACTGAGGAGGAGGCCCTGCCAGAGGTGGGCATTGCAGGGCTCAGCCCCAGAACATCCAGGAAGATCTTTGAAAAGGTACAAACCAACCAACTGTTCCAGACAGCAGAAAGCTTGCCTCTCACCCCCAGGACCTCCCGAAAGATCACAGGGATGATTAACCAGGAGTTAATCACTAGCCAGGAGACTCTGGCAGTCAAGCCTGTTGCACCACTGAGACGGCGTGGCCGAGTGACTTCTGAGTCTGAAGGGCTGAGTCTGTTGACAGTGCCCTCCATTGTGGTGGGTAGTGTGCCCGCAGAGAGTGCTGGTCAGACAGAGAATGAGCCTCCCACCCTGAATCTGGAGAGCAGCGGGAGGGAGAACCCCGCTGACTCTGTGGCAGTGCTGCCGTGTGCCACGCCGGAGGAGCTTGCATCTGGGGCACGGCGCAAAATATACCTATCCAAAGCCAAACAGGCAGAGGAAGCAGAGGGGGCAGCCCCTGAGGGCCCAGTGTACCTGAAGAGAGAGAGCCCCACTGTGTCCCCACGGCAATCCAGGAAGAACACGGCCCTGCTGCAAGCCCCTGTTCCAACCCCATCTCCTCCTGTCGAACGGCGCTCCCCAACCCTCACCAGAAAGATGGCCACATTGGAAGTTCCCAAGCTGTATGAGGAGCATGTGGAGGAGAGAAATGATAACCACGAACCCCCTGGTGACAGTAAGCCAGAAGTACAGGCAGAGGAGACTAGGAAAACAAATGATCCCTTTAAAGGTAAGAAGAAAAGCTCCCTCACCTCTTGCCCCTGTGCACAAGAGGTGACGGCAGCATGGATAGGCATCTCCTTTCAAGTACTTCTCATTATGTGGCAGTGGATACCCACATATGAGCTAAGCCTTAGTGTTTGAGGAACCTGCAGCAGTTTCTTCTGTGTGAGCGTAAAGGACAGCAGTATGCAGCTGCTGGGACCGGGAGCACACAGCAGTGATGAGTTCTGCAGGCACACATGGGGCAGGAAGATACAAGCTGCCACATGCAGAAGTAGGGACTATGAGCTCCTCTCCATTCATCAAACCTGGACAAACAGATCCCACCCATCTTTTAGTCCAGTGCTGAGGGCACTTGGCCAGGAAGCAACCTCGATTCTAGGCCCCCTTTCACCCACAGTGGGTCTGAACCTGTGTCCTCTGTTTCTAGCCCTTCTACTGAAGCTAGCCCACTGGGCAGCCAACAGAGAAAGGTATGTGGGACCCAAAGAAGAGCAAGTAGAGGGTGGGTGTGCCACTCAGTAAGATGGATGCTACTCTGGAAGGGAGGGAACCTGGGGTCTAGCCATTCATGTCCTGTACCTTGACCAGAGAGAGCAGGAGACAATGCTAGAGGCACCAGCACCTTTACTTAGGCTGTCTAGTGCTACTTCAGGAAAGAAGTGTGACCAGGATCTGAGTAGGGGTTGAGACCAAGTGTCCAGCAGAGAAGGAAACCCTTTGAGAAACTGCCATAGGCCGCACTGCAGCTCCCTGAGAGCTCATGGAGCTAGAGGCATAGTGACTGTGTTTGCTGTTACCAGAAGTGGCACGTCCCCTGCTCCTGGGCGCCTCAGTGAAACCCAGGCTTCCAGGATGCTTGTCCTGGTCTTTGTTGTGCTGCACACTGACACAAGGTGCAGCACAGAATGAGAAATACCTGATTCTCTGATATTGTGGAAAACTGTGGTGCATCTTCACTTTCCCTTCTTGCTTATGTCAGCTAAGGGAGACTGGATCAGAGAGGATGTATGCCCTTAAGTCCCTAAGCCCCTGGCGAATTAAATTTGATGCTTGAATTGGCACCCCCATCTTGTCTCACAAAACGTCTGGGAAGAACCTAATGATAAAATCTGCCATGGGGAGGAAATGTGGGTGTCACTGTCTAATCCCTCTTCTGTGAGGGCATCTCCCAAGGTTATTGGATCTAGTCAGATGTCACACCCTTGGCTTTGGAGATGCTAAGGGGGTGTGTTGGGGGTGGGTGGGGCATATGCATGATGGGGTAAGGACAGGGAGGGAAATCCTATAGCAAAGCAATAAAAACAAGCAAGATGAAAATGTTCCTGTGTGTTAAAATGCAGTGTCTCACTGCAGCAGGCAGGCTGTGTCTAGACAAACCTCTGCAAATCTCCCAGGCACTTATCCCTTCTCATTCATTTCTGATGGACTGTCTACTGTGAAGTGAACACAGCTGTCTACTGGGGAATGGAGCCCTGGCATGAAAGGCCACAGGCATCCTTTTCATCTTCCTTTTGATTTTCCTTTGACATTCCTTTGTTTTCCTTCCAGACCTCTGCTGCCTTCCATCTCCATAATTTTATTTATAGGCAGACATACATCTGGAGTACTGTGTCCAGTTTGGGGCTCCCCACTACAGAAAGGATGTGGACAAATTGGAAAGAGTCAAGTGGAGAGCAGTGAAAATGTTTAGGGGGCTAGGGAACATGACTTATGAGGACTGGATGAGGGAACTAGGCTTATTTAGTCTGGAGGAGAGAAGACTGAGGAGGGATTTAATAGCAGCCTTCAACTACCTTACTGGTTGTTCCAAAGAGGATGGAGTGAGACTGTTCTCAGCGGTGGCAGATGACAGAATGAGGAGCAATGGTCTCAAATTGCAGCAAGAGAAGTTTAGGTTAGATATTAGGAAAAACTTTCTCACTAGGAGGGTAGTAAAGCACTGGAACAGGTTACCCAGGAGGTTATAGAATCTCCATCCTTGGAATGTTTTAGGACCCGACTAGACAAAGCTTTGGCTAGGATGATATATTTGGGGATGGTCCTGCTTTGAGCAGGAGGTTGGATTAGAAGGTCCCTTCCAACCGTAACTTTCTGTAATTCTGTGATTCTATGATATACAGGTACCTATAACGCTAATCAGAGTGGCAGGACTTGGATACATACCAGATAAACAGCTAAGCCCCTCTTGTTGCCAATACTCTGAAACAAAAGAGACTTCACCTTTCTAACACCTAGTGAAAAACTGATAACTCAGAGTGAGCAAGGGTGCTGGCTCTGAGAGTGTCCCCAACCCCTCCCAGCAGAAGGTGGTATTTGAAAGGTGGCTGTTGGGGTGGTCACAGCTAGTGCAATAGTAATTTCCCTCAACAGCATGGATGGAGTGCTGGCTGTGAGGAGTTTGTGGTTTTGGATGCTACAGTGATGGGCCAAGCTATAAGAAACTGAATAAAACCTCAC